TCATACAGCCATACAAGTCGAGAGGGGAGGGGAACCCATCAACCCCAGGCCTGCCGGCACAGCCAGGTTTTGACGGCTTTCCGGAAGGCCTGGAGAGAGGTGAGGGTCCGAAGATGTTGGATATCCATTTGTCTGGAACGGTATAGGGTTTCCTGCCTAGGCAGGGGGTTGGACTAGAAGACCTCCAAGGCCCCTTCCAACTCTGTTAGTCTATTCTATTCTATTCTATTCTATTCTATTCTATTCTATTCTAGTTTTGGTGGCTGCGTTTAGGACATCCTGCCTGCAAAACTCAAGATTTTTCTCCAAGGACGTAGAAACTGCCTCCTGTTCTTGGAGAGAGGACGTGGGATATTAGTAATCATTAAATCGGACTAATAAAAACTTGTTCTCCTTTTTCTTGGAAGCGGCAGGCCAAAGGTTGAGTGACGGAGCCCTGGAGCCTGGGCTTCTCCCCCAGACTTTGGTCCTTGCTGGCTAAGAACTCTGGGAATTGTAGTCTGGCATATTTGCCAGGTGGTGCTATAAGCCGAGGAAGGCTGCGCTAAGGGTTTTTTTTAGCAAGGAGAAAGTGCGTCACATCCAACAACTGTTTTATGAGTTGGCCAACACCAAGGGTTGTCCTTGACTTACGGCTGGGAGTGAGCCTGCAATTATCAGTTGTGTCGGTCGCTAAGTGGGTCAGCATGTGACCAATGCAACCCATTTTATGACCCTTAGGGCAGTGGCCGTTAAGTGACAGCAAGGTGATAAAGTGGGCACAAATACTGTGGTCATTAAGTGAATCCACTGTTTACTACGGGTGTCTTTTACTATGGTTTTTTTTTCATTTTAACAGAAGTACCGGTGGTTCTCGGCTTACAATGGCTCGCTTAGTGACTGTCAAAGTTTACGATGGCACTGGAAAAAAAGGGACTTACGACCGTCGCAGCGTCCCTGTGGTCATGTGATCAAACTCCAGACGCTTGGAAACTGGCATGTACTTAGGACGGTTGCGGTGCCCCCACCCCTTTTGGCGACTTTCTGACGGAAGCAAAGTCGACGGGGAAGCCAGATTCACTTAGCAACCGTGTTGCCAGCTTAACGACGGCAGTGATTCACTCAATAATTGCGAGGTTGTAAAAGGGGGCAACGTGCACTTAACAAGCGTGTCGCTTAGCAAGGGGGGATTCTGAGCTGAATTCTGGGCGTAAGTGGAGGACTACCTGTCAGGGGGGGGCACAGGCAGGAATTGGCAGTCTTTATCCAACTCACTGAGCCGGCCTCTTATTCAAAAGCTCTTTGGCCAACAAAGGAGAATCTTTGTAGCTCGGGGTTGAACGGTGGGGGGTCCTTGTTGCTCTCTGAGCTGGGTGGTTTCCTTGCAGGCGTTTCATGACCCAGCTAGGGAACGTCAGCAGTGCTAGGAGGGTGGGGGGGTTGTGGCGAGGACGGGGAGGGGGAAAAGGAGGGGGAAGAAAGGAGGAGGCAGGACTGTGGAGTCCCTTGGTGCTTTCTGAGGTTGGTAGTTTTCTTGCAGACAATTCATTACCACACTAGGTAACATCATCAGTGCTAGAAGGGATGGGGGGTTTGTGGAGAAGAGGAGGAGGAGGAGGAGGAAGACTGTGGGGTCCTTGATCGCTCTCTGAGCTTGGTGGTTTTCCTGCAGACTTCCATTATCACACTAGCACTAGAACTAACATCATCAGTTGTAGAAGGGAGCAGGATTTGTGAAGGAGGAGGAGGAAGAGGAGGAGGAGGAGGAAGAGGAGGAGGAGGAGGAGGAAGAGGAGGAGGAGGAGGAGAGGAGGCGGCAAAGGCAGAGGCAGAAGAGGAAGACTGTGGGGTCCTTGGTGCTCTCTGAGCTTGGTGGTTTTCTTGCAGACGTTTCATGACCCAGCTAGGGAACGTCATCAGTGCTAGAAGAGTGGGGGTTTATGGGGAGGAGGAGGAGGAAGAAGAAAGGAGGAGGGAGGGACTGTGGGGCCCTTGGTGCTCTCAGGTTGATAGTTTTCTTGCAGACGTTTCATGACCCAGCTAGGGAACGTCATCAGTGCTAGAAGAGTGGGGGTTTATGGGGAGGAGGAGGAGGAAGAAGAAAGGAGGAGGGAGGGACTGTGGGGCCCTTGGTGCTCTCAGGTTGATAGTTTTCTTGCAGACGTTTCATTACCACACTAGGTAACATCATCAGTGCTGGATGATAATGTTAGCTAGCACTGATGACGTACCCTAGCTGGGTCGTGGAATGTCTGCAAGAAAACCACCAAGCTCAGAGAGCACCAAGGACCTCACAGTCTCCCTCCTCCTCTTTTTCTTCTTCTTCCTCCTCCTCCTCACTTCTTTCCCACCCTCCTTTCCTCCTCTATAAACCCCACTCCCTTCTAGCACTGATGACGTTCACTAATTGAGCCACGAAACGTCTGCAAGAAAACAACCAAGATCAGAAGGCACCCAGGACCCCTCAAAGGTCCCTCAACCTAATCTGTTGCCTTCCTGGACCTCACCTCCACGATTGCGAGTGTGAAGCCAAGTCGAGGAAGAGTTGGTGGTGGCCGCACAAATGACCATGGAGAAGAAGAAAAAGGAAGACACCCCCCCCTCCTCACGGAGGCACCATCCTTTGTTCAAAGATGAGAGGGGTGTTTTGCGCAGTTAGCAGTTAGACTTATATACCGCTTCAAAGGGCTTTCAGCCCTCTCTAAGCGGTTTACAGAGTCGGCATATCGCCCCCAACAACAATCTGGGTCCTCATTTCACCCACCTCGGAAGGATGGAAGGCTGAGTCAACCCTGAGCCGGTGAGATTTGAACCGCCGAACTGCAGATAACAGTCAGCTAAAGTGACCTGCAGTACTGCACCCTAACCACTGCGCCACCTCGGCTCTTCCACGCCTTGACAAAGGCGGGGGAAAAAAGGATACAGCGTGATCATGGGCATGTTGGACTCTTCTGGAAGGTCTTCGTCGTCTTCTCCAAAACAGGCCTCCGACTCTTGCGCGATGTCCTGCCACGGGGGGCAAAGCTGGAGACCCTCTTCTCCTTTCACATCCCTTCCTTCTTCCTGCTGGGGGTCTCTGGGCAGCTTCTCTCCCCCTTCTGCCGCTTCTGGCGCAACCCTCTGCCATGGCCTCGCGAAGTCTCCTCCACCGTTGTGCGTGGAGGGCGCTTCTTCGGGTCCTCCTTCCTGGGCCTCCGGGGATCTTCCTTGACCAACCTTCTGGATTTCCGCAGCTTCCACACGTCCTGCCGTTGTGGGCTCTTCTTGCCCAGCTTCGCGTTCTTCTTCCTCGGCGCTCTCCCCGTCTTCTTCTCTGTCCCCGGATCCAGTGGCGCTGGAGACACTCGAAGGATCCCCTTGGATCACGTCGGAGACGGGGCTGCTTCGGATGGCGCTCTCTTTCGGCAAACGGTCCCCGTCCTTCGCCATCTGGACTGGTTCCTGCTCGGTTTCGGAGACGAAGCTGGACCAGGGGCTGGTTTTGTCCGTCACGGTGGTGATTTCGTTCAGCGTTCTCGGCTCTACGATGGCCTCTTCGTACTCTTCCTCACTGTGGGACTGAGCAGAGTCTTCCTCCCTCTGGATCCCGGGGAGGAATCCTGCTTTTTGGGAGTTTGTTGGGTCAAAGAATCCATAGAGCACGTCTTCTTCTGCAGAAGGGGATTTTCCGAGAGGTTCTTCTTCCCCTATCCTGGGATTCCAGAATTCGTTGCTTGAGGGAGCTTTGAGCATCTCGGTCCTGGAGGCGCCGTCTTCCTGTCCGAGGTGGGCCTGGTCAGTGCTTGAGAATCTGTGGCCGTCTTCATGAACTCGTGAGGAATCTTCAAAGTGGCTTGTCATCTTAGGCCATAGATCTAAGGGAAGAGAAGGAATTCTTTTTTTTTTTTTGAAAGATGATACTAACTTTCTTTAAGTTTATTTTAGAATATCTTTTTTTTAAAAATGTTATTAATTTCATATATACATTCACAATTATATGATCTCATAACTGTTATTAATAATATGTATTTATAACAATTTTCCCCCTACTTCTTCTTCCTTCCTTCCCTCCTTCCTTCTCTCCTCCTCTCCTTCCTTCCCTCCCTTCTTCCCCCTTCCCTCCCCCCTTTCTTCTCTCCTTCTCTCCTTCCCTCCTCCTTCCCTGCTTCCNACGGCTTTCCGGAAGGCCTGGAGAGAGGTGAGGGTCCGAAGATGTTGGATATCCATTTGTCTGGAACGGTATAGGGTTTCCTGCCTAGGCAGGGGGTTGGACTAGAAGACCTCCAAGGCCCCTTCCAACTCTGTTAGTCTATTCTATTCTATTCTATTCTATTCTATTCTATTCTATTCTAGTTTTGGTGGCTGCGTTTAGGACATCCTGCCTGCAAAACTCAAGATTTTTCTCCAAGGACGTAGAAACTGCCTCCTGTTCTTGGAGAGAGGACGTGGGATATTAGTAATCATTAAATCGGACTAATAAAACTTGTTCTCCTTTTTCTTGGAAGCGGCAGGCCAAAGGTTGAGTGACGGAGCCCTGGAGCCTGGGCTTCTCCCCCAGACTTTGGTCCTTGCTGGCTAAGAACTCTGGGAATTGTAGTCTGGCATATTTGCCAGGTGGTGCTATAAGCCGAGGAAGGCTGCGCTAAGGGTTTTTTTTAGCAAGGAGAAAGTGCGTCACATCCAACAACTGTTTTATGAGTTGGCCAACACCAAGGGTTGTCCTTGACTTACGGCTGGGAGTGAGCCTGCAATTATCAGTTGTGTCGGTCGCTAAGTGGGTCAGCATGTGACCAATGCAACCCATTTTATGACCCTTAGGGCAGTGGCCGTTAAGTGACAGCAAGGTGATAAAGTGGGCACAAATACTGTGGTCATTAAGTGAATCCACTGTTTACTACGGGTGTCTTTTACTATGGTTTTTTTTTCATTTTAACAGAAGTACCGGTGGTTCTCGGCTTACAATGGCTCGCTTAGTGACTGTCAAAGTTTACGATGGCACTGGAAAAAAAGGGACTTACGACCGTCGCAGCGTCCCTGTGGTCATGTGATCAAACTCCAGACGCTTGGAAACTGGCATGTACTTAGGACGGTTGCGGTGCCCCCACCCCTTTTGGCGACTTTCTGACGGAAGCAAAGTCGACGGGGAAGCCAGATTCACTTAGCAACCGTGTTGCCAGCTTAACGACGGCAGTGATTCACTCAATAATTGCGAGGTTGTAAAAGGGGGCAACGTGCACTTAACAAGCGTGTCGCTTAGCAAGGGGGGATTCTGAGCTGAATTCTGGGCGTAAGTGGAGGACTACCTGTCAGGGGGGGGCACAGGCAGGAATTGGCAGTCTTTATCCAACTCACTGAGCCGGCCTCTTATTCAAAAGCTCTTTGGCCAACAAAGGAGAATCTTTGTAGCTCGGGGTTGAACGGTGGGGGGTCCTTGTTGCTCTCTGAGCTGGGTGGTTTCCTTGCAGGCGTTTCATGACCCAGCTAGGGAACGTCAGCAGTGCTAGGAGGGTGGGGGGGTTGTGGCGAGGACGGGGAGGGGGAAAAGGAGGGGGAAGAAAGGAGGAGGCAGGACTGTGGAGTCCCTTGGTGCTTTCTGAGGTTGGTAGTTTTCTTGCAGACAATTCATTACCACACTAGGTAACATCATCAGTGCTAGAAGGGATGGGGGGTTTGTGGAGAAGAGGAGGAGGAGGAGGAGGAAGACTGTGGGGTCCTTGATCGCTCTCTGAGCTTGGTGGTTTTCCTGCAGACTTCCATTATCACACTAGCACTAGAACTAACATCATCAGTTGTAGAAGGGAGCAGGATTTGTGAAGGAGGAGGAGGAAGAGGAGGAGGAGGAGGAAGAGGAGGAGGAGGAGGAGGAAGAGGAGGAGGAGGAGGAGAGGAGGCGGCAAAGGCAGAGGCAGAAGAGGAAGACTGTGGGGTCCTTGGTGCTCTCTGAGCTTGGTGGTTTTCTTGCAGACGTTTCATGACCCAGCTAGGGAACGTCATCAGTGCTAGAAGAGTGGGGGTTTATGGGGAGGAGGAGGAGGAAGAAGAAAGGAGGAGGGAGGGACTGTGGGGCCCTTGGTGCTCTCAGGTTGATAGTTTTCTTGCAGACGTTTCATTACCACACTAGGTAACATCATCAGTGCTGGATGATAATGTTAGCTAGCACTGATGACGTACCCTAGCTGGGTCGTGGAATGTCTGCAAGAAAACCACCAAGCTCAGAGAGCACCAAGGACCTCACAGTCTCCCTCCTCCTCTTTTTCTTCTTCTTCCTCCTCCTCCTCACTTCTTTCCCGCCCTCCTTTCCTCCTCTATAAACCCCACTCCCTTCTAGCACTGATGACGTTCACTAATTGAGCCACGAAACGTCTGCAAGAAAACAACCAAGATCAGAAGGCACCCAGGACCCCTCAAAGGTCCCTCAACCTAATCTGTTGCCTTCCTGGACCTCACCTCCACGATTGCGAGTGTGAAGCCAAGTCGAGGAAGAGTTGGTGGTGGCCGCACAAATGACCATGGAGAAGAAGAAAAAGGAAGACACCCCCCCCTCCTCACGGAGGCACCATCCTTTGTTCAAAGATGAGAGGGGTGTTTTGCGCAGTTAGCAGTTAGACTTATATACCGCTTCAAAGGGCTTTCAGCCCTCTCTAAGCGGTTTACAGAGTCGGCATATCGCCCCCACAGTCTGGGTCCTCATTTCACCCACCTCGGAAGGATGGAAGGCTGAGTCAACCCTGANCTTCCCCCCTTCCTTCTCTCCTACATTCCCTCCTTCCTTCCCTCCTTTCTTCTCTCCTTGGAAGAGAAGGAATTCTGATGTGTTGTCAGGAAAGGAGAAAGCATTAAGGTTTCAGCATTATTGCAACTGCCAGCGATACCAGTGTGGCATTAAACGTGAAAAGCACGAGGATAAAATTCACATAAGTACCGGTAATAGTTGTAAGACTTCCACTACATGTATTAGAAACAATTTATTCCACTTTTTTTTTCTTGACAGCTATGGGACATTTCTGCCTGATTTTTTTTAAAAAAGTGATTTAAATGTGAACTAAAACCGGAATTATTTCTGTTAGGAATTATAAAAAGAAATTATGAAAACAATATTAGATACTTAATTTTACACATCGTTACAGCAGTGAGAATTACATTTGCACAAAACTGGTGAAAGATGGTAAACAAAGCAACCCAAATGGTATGTTAGAATCCTGTAAATAGAACGATAAATGTAAAAAAGAATAATAACTGTGTGAATGTAGACCTATAATTGTATATAGGAATAAAAAAGAAATACACAATCACACAGATAGGCTGCAACAGCCTTTTCTAGGCACAAATACTATTTCATTTCAAAGCACAGGTCTCGTTTTCTTGCAGGAACCAAACCTGTTTTTTTTTTTAAAGGTTTGCAAACCTTTTCCAAACAGTTTCAAATTCTGTTTTGCAAGGGAAGCAGAGTTTTCGGTCTTTTCGTTCAACTTTTATGCTGAAGTCAGAAGTTACAGACCAAAGCAATGGCCAAGAAAGGAACGTGCTTCCATGCGCACACCCTTGCAAAGTGGCAGCTATTGTGCGCCTTTTACAACGGGCGCAATTTATTAGGAAATGCTGCTTATTTGTGGAAGGAGCGTCATGGGATCAAAACTGGGAGGCTTGGCAACTGGCATGTACTTAGGACGGTTGCGCCGGCAAGGGTCACGGGATCACCTTTTGCGACCTTTGGACGGGCAGAGTCAACGGGGAAGCCGGAGTCACTTAACGACGGTGGGAGTCGCTTAACAGCTGCCGCGATTCACTTTACAGCGGTGGCAAGAAAGGTCGTAATAATGGGGCGGAACTCACTTAACCACCGTCTCGTTTAGCGATGGAAATTTTGAGTTCGGTTTGCGGTTGTGAAGTCAAGGATTGCCTAGCTTGTGCCCGCTACCAAATCCCATAGCCTTATCCCCGTCATTGCGGACTTCGCCAGAGCCACCGGCATCGCCACGTCAGATGGCGGGAAACATACCGACATGCTGGCTGTTAACTTGAGGAAGAAGATGGATGGGTTTCTGCTGCCGAGGGTCTTCTTCTGGATCGATCCTCCTGGAGGGAGGCCTCTGGATGTCGAGGCCCAACCTGGCGCTACGAGGAGCCCCCAGGTCTGTCAAAGGTCTGGTGAGTTTTTCGTTGAAATACCTCTGGATCTCATCCAACTCATTCAGGTTTTTCCTGGAAGAGAATGGAATGGAATATGAATTAGGAATAGAATAGAACAGAACATGGAATAATAGAATAGAATAACTAGAAATAGGAATGGAATAGAATATGAATTAGGAATAGAATAGAAAGAAGAGGAAGAATAGAATAGAATAATTAGAAAGGAATAGAATAGAATATGAATTAGGAATGGAATAGAAAGAAGAGGAAGAATAGAATAGAATAATTAGGAATAGGAGTAGAATAGAATATGAATTAGGAATAGAATAGAACATGGAATAATAGAATAGAATAATTAGAAATAAGAATAGAATATGAATTAGGAATTAGGAATAGAATAGAAAGAAGAGGAAGAATAGAATAGAATAATTAGAAAGGAATAGAATAGAATATGAATTAGGAATGGAATAGAAAGAAGAGGAAGAATAGAATAGAATAATTAGGAATAGGAGTAGAATAGAATATGAATTAGGAATAGAATAGAACATGGAATAATAGAATAGAATGATTAGAAATAAGAATAGAATATGAATTAGGAATTAGGAATAGAATAGAAAGAAGAGGAAGAATAGAATAATTAGGAATAGGAGTAGAATAGAATATGAATTAGGAATAGAATAGAACATAAGAGGAAGAATAGAATAATTAGGAATAGGAGTAGAATAGAATATGAATTAGGAATAGAATAGAAAGAAGAGG